CTTGAATTTTCCGAGTACACTCGACGGAGAAAGTACTGCCGCAGTGTACAAGTGCAATTCTGACAGACTTGGACTCGGTCCCTATACGTGGCACTCATCGGACGGTGCCAGCCCCAGCCAGCGGAAAGTTCGGGACCCCGAAATGTACCTAGTTAAAGTGCGCTTTTTGACAACGGGATGGTCAATGTAGTACGGTTCTGTCCCGTGCTATCAGACGACGCCTCACACGTCTATCGGCCATCGTTTAAGCATACAGTGACAAAGTACTCACCACCGGCGCCGCCTTGGACTGGTCCGTCGGCAGGGACAAAAGCGCAGCAGGGCAGAATCGCGTGAACTTGGAGAGGTCAGACCGCGAGCGCCACCAGTCCGCCGGAATTGCTGAAAGAAAAGAGAAAGAGCACCGCAGATTACAGAAGCTTTGAGCAGGAGACTGAGCCCGCGTTCAAGCACTCAGAATAATGCACGGCACGACAAAGCCGAGCAAGATTCATCCAAATCCAGCGCTGTCTAATGCCAAAAAGACAGCTCAGATGCTCATGTACATTCACGAGCAACCGCATTCACAAGCGCGCCACATCAGCGACATGCGTCGCGCGCGTACGGCCCACGGAACATGGCGGCGCGCGCCGCGCCTGCCACCGATACCGTATGACACACCGCGCATTCAAATTCAAGCATATTTATTCCGTTTTATCATATACTATCGCGCGGACAATTTGAAGCACATTTGTCCCACAAATTCATAAGTGATCGAGCATGCAGTTTCAAGCACTTTTGTTCCGTATTTTCACCGCCTATCGAGCATGCGGTTTCAAGCAAATTTATTCCGTACTTTCAAGCTCTCTGAAGGGCCGGAACCGCCCAGTACGTACTAGGGTAGCCCGACTTCTGCGGGCCCCGGTCCGCGAACCAGCTCGATCACCCGACGGCCGGGCGACCCGGCTTGCTTTGGGCGTACGCCAGGATTCAAAGACCCCAAATTTCTACAGCGACCACAGCCGCGCACGGCACACAGAAAGCGTCGCCGCGGCGGCCGGACACACCGATTTTCCGACGCGGGCTAGTCCGGCCGTACCGCGGCCCGCCAAAGAGACTCCGCATTATGACCCGACTTCTCGTGCATTTCCTATGTGTCACCCTTGCATGGACAGAAAAAGAAAATACTTGCATAACCAGCGTCCTGAATAATATGACGCGTCAGATGGAGCCTGTCCGAAGGTTTGACGGCTCGATGATCACCCCTGTTCTACCTTGGCGCCTGCTACTGCGGAAAGATGTTCGATGACGTCAAAGCAATAGCTAAAGTTTAGCTAAAATTTAGTATCTAAATAGACCCTATCTATCGATCGCAACCGGGAAGCATGCCCTGAAAATGCTGTAGCAGCAACATTCAACCTGTTGAAGGGGCCAGGGCAGAATACTGTGACACTGTCAGTGTCAGTGTCACGTTTCTTCCATTCGCAATTTCCACAATCATCATCATCATGACTCTGACTCAGAGTCTGAGAGCCGTGTAGCATTGATTCATTGTTTCACCCGCCAAAATTGAACGGACACCAGAACGGTGAAACGAGAAGCTGCCAACTGTCAGATGCTTTAACCGTCGATTTGTGCTTCATACCTTTGGCGCCATTTTCGACGGTATGCTTTCATCCGTGCAGGAATGCTGAGGTCACGCCCCGTGACTGGCACGATCGGATTCCGGAACATCATGAGGTACAATTCACTTTAAGAGTATGAGTAAGCACTGAGTCGTGGAAGAGCCGCAAGAAGAGCTTCAAGAGCGACATCTCAACGCATGCTTGTACTAGTAGCTTCTTCAATTGCAATCAAGATTAGTCCTGAGCGCAAGCTTTCTCTGCTCTGCTTGATTTTGCGGCGCTCTGTTGCAGTCCGACCAGGTCTGTGGAAAAAGGTCACCATGGTGGGTCCTGCAACAGATTGCTTGGCAAACCCACTCGGGTGCATCCGCCAGCTGTTTGACAAAGCAGTGACCAATGGAATGACTCCACAGCAGCTGGGATCATCTGACTGGGGAGCAAAAGAGTTCTTCGCTGGCGAGATTGCCAAGTTGGGAGGGGCGGATATGGTAGGTGCCATGATTTAAGAAGGCATTGCCGAATCTTCTTCTCGTGTGACCTTATTGAAAAGGAACCACTTATCAGTTGCTTGAGTAGTTGTTGAAAAGCTGGTCCGATGCACATTCTACTTGAGCTTTGGAGATGTGCATCAAGGCTGCAATTGCTGACAAATGTAGGGATTGTTTTGCAGGTCCCGCTTTTGAACAGCACATCTCTAGATTTGCTGCCCTCTGGGACGCTTGTTCGTTTCCAAGGCATGGTGAGGCGCTGCGCTGATGTAGAGCTTGCAACGGGCCCCGAGAACTATCATCGCCCTGCTTCAATCCCCAATCAGCTGCAGCACTGGCTGAAAAGATCAGAAGCTTGAGAAGGACTTTGATTGTGTGGGCACTGTTTCTCTGCTCATGTCTGTACTCATGCCCTCACTTACTTATTCCTCTTTGTTTCACAGGTGCAAGATATGTTTGACCCAGAGTACTATGTTGGCGCCTTCAAGGTACGCTTGACCAACAAAAGTATACTCGTGTCTCTGAGTTGTGCAGTTGTTTTCATCTTCTGAGTGGCGTAGTGGTACTTCAACAAGCACTTCTCTAGATCCTCAGTGGCTTGCAATCTTGGTTGGTGGGTCTATCTCATATGTTCAGAAGTTTCGCCCTGCAGGAGACCCCGAGCTCCACTTGGCACACGACAAAATATACTGACGTCTACGATGTCCCAATCGCGAGCGGTCCAGATGCTCAGGTCTGGGAGAGAAAGTTGCTGTACTGTGTCCCGGTGAGCAGCCCGTAAGATTGACTTGAAAACCAGCGTTCCTTGCCTTGCTTGAACACTTCATTGCACGCAACTGATTAGTTGTCCGCAGCTCTTCGGCAGGCTGACCAGCATCCGCAGCATGGTCAATCAGGGCGCTTGAGATGCCGTGAGTTGCCCTCAACAGCAAAGTAGATGGCCACTCGGCTGTTTCTAATGTGCCCACAGTCGAGTTTTGGTCTAGAAGCAATCCGTTTCAACAATGATTTGCCTCGCTTTGTCGGCGGGCCTGCCCTGATCAGAGGTAGCCTGTTTGCAGATTCCTGGTCAATCAGATTGGAGTAGAGGCACTCGTCCGACCTCGCTCAACGGTCCAGGAGCGCACAGGGAGAAGCGCCCTCGAGATGATGAGGAAATGTCAATCGCGGAACCCATGCTTGAAGAAGGAGAGGTGAGGCCTAAGCAGCCTTCGCTTGTATGAAAAGGATAGAGGCTACAGTGCGCACTGCGTGCATTGAAGAGGCTGCAGACTGTGCAAGTGTAAAACCAGAACAGGGGGATGCTCAAAAGGTTGGGCTTATCTGCCTTGCCAACACTGAGCTGCTTGCCCTATTGCAGGCTGGCCAGGAGTCGATTGGGGAGCAGGCTAAGCGGCAGGTGAGGAGCCACCCGTCCAAAGCTGGGCGGCTCTGCCAACTGTAATTGCACTTCTGAGTTGCAGGCGGGAAAAGGCCTGTGCACGTTGGACACACGCCGCGGATTGGATAATAACTCGCTCATGAAGGATGACTCCCTCTTACAGCGCGAAGCTTCCTCGTCGGGGATGTCGAACAATGAGACTGGTGGCTGTGGTCTGCTGGGGGAGGGCATGAACCTCCCCCTCCCCTCCTTGCTGCTGCCGTGCCTGGTCAAGGTAGGCTGCGCACCATCAAGGCTGCGGGGGCTTGCGCGTGTTTGAACGCTTTGCGAGGCTGTGGTTACTAAAAGGCATGAATAATACTAGATCATTTAAAGGGCCAAAAGCGAAACTGTCAGATTAAGGACATCTTTCTACTCTCCAAGGAAGGTAAAGCTTTCTTTGGAAACCCGTACGCTCTTGGTCATGAATGTTGTTTGAGAACAAGAAAGATGTCCTCACTGGGGCAAGAAGCACAGAGTAGCTAAAATATTTCCAAACCGGCATGCGCGGTATGTACCGAACAGAAGTCTGTAGGTTCAACGCCACATATGGATAGATGGTATCATACCCTACCCGCACCTCACGGTACCCATATGCCTGGGGGAATGTTGACTCGTGCGGTGCCAACAGCACTACAGATCTAAGCTACCAAACATTGACAAGACCCCAACCCAACCTCTAAGACGTTCCGCCATGACTCGCCCCTACCACCCTTACCCCCCGACCTCACCCCACCAAACTCACTTCATTGTTGGGATTGCTGGTGGCTCAAGTGTAAATTGTCTTAGAGTTCCGAAATTCCAGCTAGTCTGTCCCGTTTGACTCACTGAGCATGCTCCCGTTTGACACCCCCCCTGGCGCCTGCAGGTGTACGACGATGCCGATGCCGGCTTGAAGCTGAACGATGTGGCAGAGTTCGTGGGTATCCTCACCTTCGACCCCCAGCTGGCGGCAGCTGGCAGTGTGGGCAGAGGGGAGCCTGCGTCCGGCATGCCGGGGGAGGGGGCTGCAGGGGACAGCCTGGACGAGGAGCTGCCCCCCAGCCTCCGGCTCTCCCCCAGCAAGGTGGGGCACAGCGTGGGGCCTCGTGCGGCCGCGCCTGAGGCCTGCTGGATGAGCACCAGCATGTGCACTGCAGGGTGGGTTCAAGCTTGGCGGCAGACTGAGGGGTGTGGCGGTGGGTGTGTGCAGGTGCCCCGCCTGCAGTGCATCTACCTCCACAAGCTGCCCACCCTCGTGCCAGGCCTGCCACCGCCCGCGTCGCTGGCCCACGCAGCGGCCGCCCAGGTGAGCTCAAAGGAATGACAAAACCGCATACTTAGTGACAAGCTTTCCTGCACTGAATTGCGTTTTTTGTTATCCACTGCCGTGACAGCGTGTTCCGTTCGGTGCTCAGGTCAACTGGCAAGCTGAGCCTAGAGCAAGGACCCATATCTTCTCTGCTTGCACGTAGTTCATTGGGATCCTTTATTGACTCTCATTGATCCTTGCAGGAGCTGGCACAGTCGGCCTCTGCGCTGCGGGCGTGTGCGGTGAGCCTGCTGACGGTTGCCCTGGGGGGGGACACCCTGGCCGCGCAGTACCTCCTGCTCACGCTCCTCTCCAAGGTCAGCCACTACGCCGGCCATTGACAACCCAGCGATGTCGCAGACGTTCACAATATCGGAGCAGACAGAATGTAGACACTAACTCACTTGCTTGATTTTATGCTTCTGCTCTCACCAAGCAGATCAAAGGGTTTAAAATGCTCAAGTTGGAAAGCGAAGATCATTGTTAACAAGGAGAAGAGACAGATTATTGGCAAACTCAAAAGGCCCTCAGAGAAGAGGAACGGAGAAGTCGGGAACTGGGGAGAACTTGGAGACCAAAATGTACCTGTACTCAAGGGCACCCACAATTGAAGCCGACTCGTTGAGTGGGTGTCGTCTTACGTACTTAGCTTTAGGTCACCTTGGTTCTCAACTCACGGCAGAGGGGGTCCTTGCCGGCAAACCTGAAGATAAAATGTTTAGGACGACTTCTGTCTGCACATCATGCATCTCAAAACCTTTGCCAAACCAAGACACGATTGATCACGTAACCCCAAGACGCGAATGATAACATCCGACTGCTTCCATCCTGAGTCGATTAGAACAGTGGTGCGGTATTCTGCGCCTTGCCCCCCCTCATTGCGCTGCTCCTGTGCTTCAGGTCACGGGCCGCGCTGAGCCGATGGCCGTCGGCAAGCTGGCCCTCAACCTGGTGGGCTGCCCCGCCGCCTCCCCGCCTGGCGCCTCCCCCCTGGCCTCTGTGCTGCGCAGCGCCCTCCCCGCCCTGGTCCCCGCGTGCCACCTGCTGCCGCTGTCGCTGGACCTGCTCAACCGGGCCCCCCTGGTGCCCAGGAAGGACTACACGCTCAACAGGTGGGCCGACGACCCGTCTTACAAGATCAGCGGACTCAACGGACAGCACCTTTCCTGGCATGCTCTCTGCTCGAGAGCAATCTTCGAATCCTGTATGCTCTCCTCTTTTCCTGCTTTCCGCTGTTTGTCAAGGCTTCCTCCGACTCTGCAGGTTCTGAGATCTTGCCGCCCTTTCAAGTTTGCGTCGTCGAACTTGCTTCGCGGAGAAAGCGGCACTGCTCTTGTTGTGCCCATAGCAACGTGGTCGGAAAGCCTTGGTACAATGTGCTTCGCGCTCCCTTCGATCCCCCGCCGCGGTGCGTGCAGGCTGGTGGCGGCCCCGCTGCAGCTGGCGGCGGGCACGGTGCTGGTGGTGGACGAGACCGCGCTGCAGCCGGGCACCGCCTCCGCCACCGGCGTGCGCAACCTGCAGGCACTGCAGCACCTCGTCGAGTGGCAAAAGGTCCGCGCCACAGAAGCGCCCTGTATGTCTGATTGAGCCACTGTCCTGCCTAATTATAGTCGCCCTTTCATCATCGTCCAGCCATCTGTTCTCCGTTCCTGTTCTGCTGACTGATTTTCCATACCCTGGGGCACTCTTGGTTCTCCCCCCGCTCGGCGGCGGCAGCCTTGACGGCTTTCCCCCCCGGTGCTCCCCCTCGTCTGTCTCACGTCGCGTCGTCGCTGGTGCCTGCCCTGCAGCTGGAGTACGACTTCCAGTGGTACACCGTGGACGTGCTCACGGACGTCCCCGTGCTCGCGCTCTCCGAGGCGCGCTCCCTCCTGCCCGCCGATGTCACCCTCCCCTTGCGCCAAACCCGCACTGCCACGTGGGCGCCGCTGCCGGACGCCGAGCTGGTGGCGCTGCGGCGCTACCTGGGCCTGGCGCGCCAGCTGGAGCACACCATTGGGGAGGCCACAACCAAGGTCAGCCGAGGCCCCGCCGCACCACGAACGTCGCGTGAAGCGGCCTCGAAGAACCAGCTGAGAACCATACCGTCTCTTGCTAGATGTGCATTTTAGATGTCAGAGCAAACCTTTTTGCGGCGGCTAGGCTGACGAGGGCGCTGTTTGCTTCTGGTGCAGGCCATTGAGGACGACCTGGTGGCGGCCAGGAAGGGCGACCCCTCGCTGACGTCGCAGGATTTCCACAGGTGCGCCTCTCGCAATGCTTCGGCCAATCGCTCACCCCGCGGGCCTCTCGACTTGGAGCGCATGCTCTTTCTGCAACGGGTGACGTGCTGAAGATATGGTAACCCGCTCAAGGAAAGCAGTTCAAGTCTACTAGTAGGTTTTCCGCCTCTTCTTGTGGACATCATCGTTGAACCCAACATTGTACAATTGCAAAACGAGCAGCCGTCTTGTTCTTGATACAGGTGGTTGACCTTGGCGAGATTGACATCGGTCAGCTACGGAGAGTCGTCACTCAGCATGTCTCGGTGGGAGAGCGTCCGAGAAATGGAGCGGTTGCGGCTCGACCGACTGCGCTGTGTCTGAGACGCGACTTAGCGCAGCACCCTCCTCGCAATCAGCACAGACCATCAGGGCAAAAAGACCGAGGGGTTGGGAGTAGCAGCGCTCAGGTTGCTGCAGCGCAAGGACCATTCTTGCAATACCAATTGCTAGCTCTCTTACAACGAAGTTTGAATCTCACATTTCCGAGAGCGAATTGGTAGAGGCAATTCCGGTTTGATCGGGCAATTTCCGCGTGCCGTCTCTTTTTGTGCACGCATCTTCAACGTTCGATCAGCCAATGGTACGGTAAGGTACCATCTAAAGTTCATGACATGTATGCGCTGAAGATCTAGCTCAACAGCTACTCTGCTGAACATATTTTGGCCAACTACATATACAACATGTCATGCCTTAGAAGGCCGTTACAGTGCATGCAGCGAATATTGCAATTTGTAGAGCGGAAAGTAAGTTGCTAGCGCGCGCTTGATTTTGCATAGCAGGCGGCCATGTGCAGCGCTGTCTCATCCTTGTGCGTACCATTGGCCTCAATTGTTTGCCGCCAGATATATGTATGCATGACTCCGTATCTCCATATATAGTACAATGCAACGCGATCGCTAGGCCGGGCCACTAATTCTGCATTATTACGCCAATAGGCCTGTTCAAGTTATCGTATTGTGATGCGCACACTCTCAATAATGTACAGTTACGTTGAACGGCCCAGCTAGCGCGTTTGCGTATGTGCGCAATCGTTTTACTTACCTAGCTTAAATTATTCCTACATATATGCCTTATCTATGATCGTACTAATACAACCTTGACCCGATGCATATTAATTATTTCACAGGCCAGTTATATGAGGTTAAGGCCCTAGTTCCGGACGATTGGAGGGTAGGTCTATCATTTGACCGGAGATCGTCAGGACAATTGACCGGAGGAGGCGGGAGAGTTCTGTCGATCGTCCGGACGGAAGTTTAATTACCGAGTCAGAATTTAAAATCGGCGAAATTGCTCGTTATCTTCGGCAAGTCTGCGACGGAAAATCACAGGCGAAAAAACAACAATACTTTGTCAATTTTTTGCGGGCAATAAGATCGATGGAACAGCTAACTCTCCCGGCCTCAGGCAGCCCTAATTACCCTCTGGTCAAGGCTTTAGGGTTTTCGGGATTT